CTCACAGAGAGGGCAGGTTAGAGAGAGCTGAACCAGAAGAAAGGTGTATAATGACAGGAGGGAAACGCAGCATTTAGGAGGAGTCTGAGGCATCAACAGAATCCTAGCAAAGAATAGTCTCACTGGCTGTGGAAATGCAGGCTGCCCTGGGCTAGTGTCAGACTTCAGGTCTACAAGGAACCAAGAGTAACAACAGAGGACAGAGCCCTGAGCACTCCACCTCAGGGAGCAGCCTGCTCAGGGTCTAGGAAAGAAAGAGGGAACTGAAGAAGGTGGAGGCAAATAACCCTGTGAGCAGATGCTCTGTCGGCCTCATTAAAGCGTAAGCGTCTTATCAGGAGGGTACAGTGTGGTGACTTATCAACCACAACACCTATCTGCTACTAAACTGCTAAACCCAATAGCTCACTGAGAACAAAGAGGCCCTGAAAGGCTGTGACAGGTGGGTCAGATTGTCAGCCTGGGGCTCTGCCAAGTTCAAGTGAAGCCAAGTGGGCACCATTCCTCCACAGGGAGAATCAAGAGTATCACTGTCTCTTATTGCTCTTCCTTAAGGGACTCCTTGAGCGGACAGCAAGGGCACTAAAATCAGCTGGCTTAGCATTGTCCAGGCTCCCTGCAGCCCCAAGTCCACTGAGCTGAGCAGGGCCCCTTCCTGGTTTCCTCCAGAGCCTCAGTTGCAGCATTGCAACATCTCTTGGGCAACTGGTATATCCACACCTGGCACAATGTCCCAAGTGTAACAGACCAGCCGCACATGCTGTTTGCAAGGATAGGCGGAAGGGAGGGGTAAGACCACTCGCCATTCCTGCCAGCAGGGCCTTTCTCCACACAGAACCACAGTGTGGCGAGAGTACACACACTGTTACCTCACTACAGAAAATGTTTTTAAATGGCAAAGCTCATGTCTGGTGGCAGGAGTCAGGAGGACGGGGATTCTCAGGGCTGGGAGGGTTTCTTGGTCTGGGGTTGGTTATATGAGGCGGCTTATAATGAATTTGGTGGAAATTTATTAAGCTATACTCAAATGTTGGTACATTTTCCTGCATGCCTTGTGCTTCCATGAAAAGAGCTACTTTTCTGAAATGCTCTTATAGAAGAGGGCCTTATATGTCTAACTGGGGGTCAGCAGAGTCAAGATAGAAAAGAGAAACGGATGCCAAAGGAGAGAAAGTTCTTGGCCATCCCTCATGGACCATATAGGGCTTTACCCCAAGGGGAAAATCTAACTGACAAAGAAAATCAGATTGGCCAAACTCCACAGGCATGGTCAGGTGAGAAGCACAGCTTGGAGACCGCTGCCTGCTGTGTGAAGCCACTCCAGGCCTGCCATCAGTAGGAAGCTTGGTCTCTGTGAAGTCAGTTTCATGCATCAACCTGGATAGGCTTTGATACCAATTTGTTTGGTCAAACACTAATCTAGGTGCTGCTGCAAAGGTATTTCCACATGTGTTTAAGATTTACATGAGAAGCCCAAAGTATAAATAAAGAGCAAAACAAAAGGTAGACAACAGGAATTAGAGAGATAGGTCTTTCTCAAAGGGGTGGGGAATTAAGAGATGGAGGGAGGGGTGGGAGAGAGAAGGGAAAGGTGAAAAGGGAATAAAGATGTGTTACATGCATGTACCAGCTCCACACCAAGACTGTGAGCACTGTACTGCAAACAGGTACGAAAAAAGAAGGAGCCTCAAGAGGTGGATGGAACGGGGAGGGAGGGAAGAGTAAGGGGATAAAAAATAGGAATTAAGACAAACATATACTGGGAGAAAAAGATTTCCAATCAGTTGAGATGAAGTAAAGCACATTACATTCCATAATGTAAATGGGCTTCATCCAATCAGATGCAAGCCTCAAGAGTAGAGGTTTCCCAAAAAGAAAAGAATTCTGCTTCTAGGCTGCAACAACAAAATTTTGCCTAGATTCCCATCTGGACTCAAGACCGCATCTCAGTCTTCCCAGAATTTCCAGGCTATTCCACAGAGTGTTAATTTGAAACTCATGAGTCAATTCCTTTAAAAATTGTATATTATATATATGATATAATATATATTAATATTATATACTATATATTAATACATAATTGGTATGTTATATATTAATTATATGTTATATAGCTATGTTACATATATTTTTATATACTATATGGATACATAACATACCCATGATTCTGGTCACAAGCCAGACTGGATAAGAACTACATTGAAATCAATGGTTAGGTTTAATATTGACCTTACGAGATCTATATCTATATCATCTATGTCTATATCTATATGTAGATCCTTACTGATTCTCTTTGCGGAAGAACTCTGAGTAAAACAATTTCCAAAAGGGTGTCCTTCCACGGCCCAAAGCATCTTTCTCAGCCTGCAACTGAGGGCAGACAAGGTGGGGCAATACTTCAGTTTGGGGACCGAAGCCTGAAGCCAGGGGCCCCTCTTTATTTGAAAAAGAAATAAGATTTCATCCATTTAATGGCTGAATAGCGTTTCGCTGTGAGCATATAAACACAGCTTTTGTATTCACGCATTGGCTGATGGGCATCTCCTAGCATCTTTTGTTGTCGCCTTCCCTGGCTGTCCAGATGCCCGTGCACTGGGTCATAGCCAGGCAGGTCTACCACTCTCTGCCTCCTATTACTCTTTGCTGAAAAATGACCACTCCACTCCTTTAGCCCACTCCCCCAAAGAGACTGGCGTCGTGATGTCAGTCTCAGAATCTAAACGCTGGCTCTGTCCTCTTGACTCTCTTCTTGACTAAGGTAACCAGGCAGATGCTAACAAAGTCAGAAAAAGGGGAAGTCCTAGAAGAAGGAAATATTGTTAGACACCTGTACATTTCCTCGCTCTCCTACTAAGGATCTTTGCATGACTCTTTTCAGAGTTCCCAGAAACTCCAGATTAACAGCCACATTCCTGAAGATGTATCCAAAGCTACCTAAACTCTCTGATCCAGTTAGATACAACATAGGGAATGAACAAAATAAACAAGAATGGTTGCAAGCACTTTAATCTTCTCAATGCACTGAAATATTGTCGAAATGTTTTATCTTCCATTGCACACAAAGGAGATTAAAAACCCATGATAAATAGTATGCTCTCCAGGAGAGAATGCCATATATAGGGCAATATATAATTTCCTGCTTCTGGTACCATTCAGAATAATTGTCCTGGTAATGTGAAAACAAGAGGGATATTAATTTAAGATTAAAGCACAATTATAAGCTTTGTCATACTGTTAATTTCTTTTAAATGTTCCTCTGAATAATTCCAACTTTGCAAGATGGAATAATCACACAATTAAAAATTGCATTAAATAAATGAATAATTAATTAATGAATAAAAGAAGATGAAAATACAACAGGCCATGCGATTTCTAAACAATAATTTTAAACAATAGAGCTTAATCCTTCAGATCTATGAAGGAATTGTTTGGGTACAGGTAGATAGCATCTCCCTCTGGATTTAGATGGGGAAGGGCTGTGTTCTTTGTTTACACATTGCTCCGTACTGGTACTGCAGGCAGCCAAGCTGCCCCAGAACCAGGTATAACTGAGCAAATAAACAATATTCTACCTCTGCAACCTTAACACCACTGCCTCCCCATAAGGCCTGAAATTCTACACTTTCCCTCATCTTCTAGAAAGAAATTCTAACAGGATCACTCTACTATTGATTAGGAATTCCATCAGAAAATGCAAATTTCATCAAGGAAACTTATGAACAGTAAAGGTTGATTGCTCAACCTGATATAAATCCCCTTAATCTAATTGCTTTCCACCCAACACTCCATGAAGCCAGTCGGTGTGGAGTGGGCCAAGGGAGAAGGGTGTTCATTTTCCACAAAGAGTAATAGGAAGCAGAAAATGGTAGGTTTGCCTAGTGATGACCCACTGCTTGGGCGTTTAGAAAGCCAGTGAAAGTTACAACACAGAACACCAGGAAGTGCCAGCATCTGGGGAATGGATATAAAAAAATGTGTTACATGTTCACAGTGCAACACTATTCAACCATTAAAAGGATGAGATCGCCTCATTTGTGACAATGGAATGAAACTGGGGCTCATAGTGTAATGTAGTGCAGGCACAGAAAATAAGCACTGCAGGCTCTTATTCGTATGTGGAATATGTAAAAAAGATTGTCTCATATAACCAGAGAGTAGGGCGGTGATTACCAGAGGCTGGGGAAAGAGAGAGAAAAAATGTTGAGAAAAATTGAGGGAAATGTTACAGTTAGTGAGAAGTAAATGTTTCTGAAGTGCAGTTGTATGGTAGGACTATGATCATATATCTCAAAAAGTTAAAAGAAATGATTTTGAATGTGTTCACCATAAATAAAAAGTAAATGAGGAATAAATATGTTAGCCAGATTTAAACATTATGCAAATATATCTGTGTGTCAAGTGGAGTCCCAAGATTGCACTTGATATATATATCTCAAGACTCCACTTGATACCCCAAAATATATATAATTTTTATGTTTTCATCTATCAGTGTGATAGCAAAGGTAGAGTGTCAGTTTGATTGGCTTGAGAACCACCCAGAGGACTAGACACTTGGGTATGCCGGGTGAATGGTGGAGGTGTGACCTTGGACCTACTTCTGGTGCCATTCCCCTGCACTGCTTGCTGTAAGCTAAGCAGCTTTCCCCCACCATGCCCTTCTGCCATGATTTTCATGCCTTGGAGTCAGCTGGTCATGGATTGAATCCTCTAAATCTGTGAGCCAAATAAACCTCTTCTAAGACATGGGTATCAGGTATTTTGTCCAGCAGTACAACACTAATTAATGCAATCAGTCAAAATTCTTAATTGAATCCCATAATGAATCCCCATTACATATCCACAAGAGAAGCCAGACTGAGAATGAACCTTAGGGGAAGAAGAAAGAGAAAGAACTGTCCTCTAAGGTTATCTTCCACGTGTCAAATGAAAGCCAGCACAATCACTTGACGCTGAAGAAATTAAGACTCTTAAAAAGTTACTCATGACTCAAGACCACACAATGACGTAGTAAATGCAAAAGGAAAAAAAAAATTGTCATCTGATCCCAAAACTCATATTCTTTCTTTTTTTAAAATTTTATTTAAAAGGAAAAAGAGAAATAAAACAAAACAAAGCAAAACAGTATAAGGGTACAAGTAATACAGAACTACAAAAAAAAACAGTAAGAAATCCCATTTAATAGGTTACACATTATCATCTTAGAGATAGTTGTTCAAGTCACAGGATTAAAGCATACAAAGTGGACATTCAAACAGAGAGACTGCAAACAGTTGTGTTCAGTGATCCAATCAAAAACATTAATATGGTCATCTATTTAACACACCTAAACACACTTGCAATTGTATCCTTTAGAGCACTTTCTTTCCCTCACTTTTTTTTATTTAAAGAGAGAAGAAAAAAAAAAAGAAAGGACATAAAAAAAAATACAGTAAAAGGGTACAAATAATACAGTATTTCTAGAAAAAAATATATACAGTACGAAATCACCAGTTAACAGGCTACACATTATCTTCCCAGAAACAGTTGTCCATATCACTAAATTAAAGCATATAAAGTAAACATTCATACAGTGGAATTGGAGACAGTTCCGTTCAATGATCCAACAAAAGCTCAGTTATATGGTTTTCCGTCCTACACTCTCGAACATACCTGCGGTCATATTCCTTAGTCCATCTTACTTTCCTCTCTTTTTTACAGTAACAATTAGACTTTTGGGGTTTTATTACTCTCATGGTTCTTATTACTTTTTTGAAGAGAAAAAAAACAAATGTGACTAAGCAACACAGAGTCAGAACAGAAGGGTGGGCATAGCACGTGATGCAAAAATAGAATAGCAGGTGATCAAAAGTGGTTACCATTGTGCCTCTTGCTATTTTCAAATTGAGTTGTCTATATCATCAGGTATAATAGAATTGATCAAAACAATATGGAACTCATATTCTTTCAACCACAGCTCATTTCCTCTCAGCAATCATAAGTCAGATATGGTCATCCCCAATTTTCAGATGAGCAAATAAAGTCAGATACTAAAGAGGCAGAAGTGTCAGTAGTTTCAAGCATAAAAACATTAGGCACGTTTGGAAGGTGTGAACTCTCTGGCCTTTTGTATTGAGTAGTAGCCCGGTGGGCAGTGAGGCTGTGAAGACCTGGAAAAAACAATAATGCTGCCCACAAGCATGAGTCACGTTCAGTTCCTAACCTTCAGGCAATAGCAGGACATTCTGATCCGGAAATAAGGCAAGTCTGAGCAAGAATTTAAGCCACACTTGAAAGCATTGTTTGCACTTCAAACCAGCTTGTTCTAACGGGCACTGATAAGAGCTGCAATTAACAGTTCGGTTATCAGCAGCAAATTGCCAACAGAAAACCCTGCAGTTGCTAAAATTATCATTTAAATTTGGAAGAGGATTAAGAGATAACTCACTTCGGCAGGTGTCAGGAAAGGAGGAGATTGCTGGGCTTACAAAAATGCCTGGGACTCACACCTGAGGAAGGTTCCCATGAGGCTGGCTGCAGGCATCACAGAGCCCCATTTTGCTTGGAACATCCTGTGGGAAATCTCCCAAGCCAGGAGCCTGCTGAAAGCCAGCCAGAAAGCCACCAGGCTGAGCTTCTCACCCAGCTGACATACCACCAGCACACAGGACACTCAGAGATATCCTGCTACCTCTTTTGCTCCATCTGGTTCCCCCAGTTCCACCCCTTTCAGAGCTCCCCTGTCCCAGGACTCCACCAGCCAAGCTTCAAGCACCTGCTTGGCTTAGAGGAGGAGTCAAGCACGACCCCTTCTTTGTCCATCACACCCCAGTCCCTCCTGTCCCTTCTTCTGTCCATCTCTCCTGTCTCTTCTCTTTTCTAGAGCTCATCTGCTAACTCACAGTGCCTACTATGCCTCACTTCCAGCACTTGTGCATTGCAGATTGTTGGGGCAATATCAGTCTCCATCCGTGTATTAACTTTCCACTATGTCTGGGCACTTGGGTGCAGTTGCAGAACAAGAAAGCATAACTTTGGTCCTTCCATTTGCCCTCTACATTGTAAGTGCCTTGGAAATAAGGCCTATGACAAATTTATCTTCACTATTTAATTCATTGTCTCAAAAGGTGCCTAATATACAGAGGTCAAATATCAACATTAAAACTAAGGGGCATATAATTACACTTTACAGAAGTTTTTGAAAATTGTTTTAAAGAGCTTTGGTATTAATACCTAAAGGAGAATCAATAGGTTTTCTATTGTGGATAGTATATGTGCATCTTCATGAAAAACTAAAAACCCTTAAAACTCACTAACTAAACCTACGCCTTCCAAACCCTTCCTGATTAGGTTATAACCTCCTTGATTCCAAAAAGGAAGGTACTATATCTGGCAGAGAAGCTCCTCCAACCACACTACGTTAGTAGGTTTCTACTCTCGGCATGAAAAGTAAACCTGTTGCCCTGTTTAGACTCATTGAATTATGGCTGGAGAGTAACATGTTCTGCATATCTCAGGGAGCTAAGATTTATAGGCCAAAGTCAAATTTAAACTCATACAGGTTTGTAAGGCTCCGTGTTATTTATAAAATTTGAATTGTATGAAGTGCACATTTTAGTTAGCCACAGGCTTCACAATTCTCTTACCTGGGGGACTAACCAACAGACATGTTACTTGCCTACTGATAGAATTCTGACACAGCTGAAAAGATAAGTATGAAATATAAATGACCTTTATTTAAGAATGTGGGGAGAGACCCCCGACCCACTGGGGTCTGGCATTCTCTCAGGTGTCTGGCAATCTCTCCATCCGACACGTGAAATGGAGATATACATGCACCTTAGGTTTGGGGTGGTGCCTGAGGGGCATTAGTGATGCTCAGGTAGCCCACTGCTATTCATTTTGTGCCATAGGTAAATTCATAGGGGCAGGGAATATGGAGTCACAGGCAAATTCCTGGAGGTGGGGAAGATAGAGCTCCTTGGTTCTGCCTCCAAGGCTTTACTGGCTACAGTGTCCCATCTGGGCCAAAATCCTTTCAGTCCCATCTTTTGATTATTAGGAAAAAGGGCGGAGATTTCTTTCTTTTCTGCTTCCTGCTGGAAGGGGGCGCTGTACTGGGGTTTAGGAGAGTCGACGGGATGATGGTTGATGCCCATGCAGAAGCTGGTGCCAGGTGTTTTAGCCAGGACAACTTTATCACTGGTGAATGCACATATGTTAGACTGGAAAAAAAAATAGACAAGATATTATGAGGAGGCATGGCACTATTGAAAGAGTTGCTGGCCCAGGCCGGATACTTTAACCAGGAGAAGCCTCAGCCAAATTAAAGAGCTCCTGCCTCCCCCGCCCCTAGGAATTTACCTGTAACCCTATACCCCCATCCCTAAGAACCTGTCCCTGGTGCCAAACGTGTACCAATGAAATACCTGTGCATCCCTAATGGCCTTAGGGCACTGCCCTAAGCTTAGGCTATTTATATTCCCCCACACCACGTGTCCGAGTGTGTGAGAGTGAGTGTTCCAGAGAGAGACTGCCGGCCCCGGGGTGGAGATGCTGCACCCCGGGGCCGGGGGGTGGAGGTCTCTTCCCGCATTCCCGAAATAAAGGTTACTTATATTTTATATTTCTTATCTTTGCAGCCACCGCTGCCCACTCCTTTCACGGCCGTCCACTCCACTCCACTCCACTCTTTCCTCTCCTTCCCATTCCTTCCACTCCACTCCTTCCACGGCCCTCTTTCCCTTCCACTCCTTCCTCTTCCCCTCTTCCTCCCCTTCTCAGACCTAACACTATCATATTTAAGGACCCAGGTGAGGTAAAAGGAAAGGTGCCTTTGATTTTGATATATCAATTCTGAAAAATAAATGTGGGGTTAGGAGGAGTGAAGTTATGAGAGGTGATTATTCCCCCATCTGAAAAGGTAAAAGTTAAGAGGGTAGGTAGATAACGCTTGTCTCTGGTATGCATGATGTGGAAGTCTTTAAGAAATACTATTGAGAGTCCTGCTGTAAAAGGGATAAGAAATTAGGAACCAAATTGGATAACAAAACATGACAGCCTGAGAGTTGTGGCTGTGAGGCCCTGGTGAGGTGGAGATGAGCAGGCAAAAGGATGGTTAGGTATAGGGCTGGAAGGGCACCACTTAGCCTGAGTGATGTGAACCAGGATGGCAATCTAACAACTTTGATCACTGTTGAGTTTGTCAAGAAGACCAGGTATGGACTGCTTTAACTTGGTTGTAGTCCTTGTGATGATTTGCTGTAAAAGGACTTTTAGTAAGTATATCAGCAGTCTCCCTGGTTGTGGGAAAGGCTTTTATGTATTCTGAAAAAGTATAAACAACGGTGAGAAGACAAAATTTATCTGTTAGTCTTGACCAGGGTGTCTGAGAAATTGTTGAATAGGAAAGGAAGGGGATATATATCCCTGAGGAGAGGTTTATGAGCAATAACAGGTGTCTGTTGAGACCTCAGAGTGTCTGGGTCAGTCTGTATAAACACATGGGAATAAAAATCATTTTTAAGATTTAGGACTGTAGAGTGAGTGGTGGAGGGAAGATTTGGCAGCGCTGGGTGGATTGGGAAGAAGCAGTCTGGGACCTTCATGAAATAGGCCCTGTTTGTAAATGGCATACGTTAACCATCAATACCCCCAGAGGCTGAGGATTTAATATAGCAGCCTGAAAACTCAGGAAGAACTCCGTACATATGGCCTCTATGTCCACAAGTAGAGAGAATGTCTTACCTGAGACTTTTAGTGGGACTTGAACTCTGAGACAGACACCTTAACGGGGGCTATTGTTGGCCCTGAGCCCAATCAGTCTTCAGCAACAAGTTTAAGCAGATCTGTCAGCGATGAATCTGGCAGTGTTGGCATTTCCTGTGAGGGCTAGAAGTTAGGACGGCTTACCCACTCTCTGGTGGCTAGGACAGTCCAGTAGCCCTGGTGTAAGGTCCCAAAGGAACGCCAGGATGGGGCACTCTCTTGCCCAATGTCTTCAGCTGCATTTGAGGCATGGTCCACGGGGGGCCCAGGCAGCTCCACCTTGTGCCGGTTTACCTGTCTCAGAACTCCAAGTGTCACTGCTATTTCTGTTGTTAAAAACATGAAAAGCCATATTAAGGAGGTCTCTGTGGGGTTTGAGGGTCAAGTTTTGCCTTTTGTTTTTGGGATCTGGTCTACAGTAGAAGGTATCTGTAGAATTAAGTAAGTATGCAGGAGTCAAATAATATAATCAACAAGGGTATTTATGATTTTAGTCTTGGCTTCCCATAAAGAGGACAAGGTCTAGGGAATTTTAAGAACTGACATGTCATTTATGTCATATATAAGTATCTGTTTATGTTAGTAAAATGTCTGATACCATCTGATTTTTGGAGGATGGCCTGTTTTATTAATTTTTTTTTCCTTTTTATTTAGGAGAGAAATCAGCTACGATGTCATTTAACATCTAGTGGTTTTTAGCAAAAGGAATTTATAATTACCTCTTAATTTTAGTTGTTAAACATCTAGAAGATTGGTAACAGTACATTAAAATATAGGCAGTAAGCTTAACATAAAACATTAAATAGCTATTAACCATGAGCATTTTAACATTTAAACGCCAAAGAAATATATTAAACATCTCTAAGCGTATATCTGCATCTGAAAGAAAACATTTGCCATGGCTGGAACACAAGAAAAGGCAGCAGAAACAATCTGAATTTTATATTTGAAAGCACGAATACACCATCAGATCAGCAACAATGAATTGTCTGCTATGACCTGTTGCATTTGTCTCTGCACTGGCAGCCAGAGCTGTGTTTGCACTTTGGGGGGGGGCTGACTGCTCCAGCTCGCGTGTAGGGTGGGCAGAGCGGGCCCAGGGTGGGGGCGACACACACAGAATGACTGGCAAAGTGCATGTCGGGCTGCAGTGTGTGGGGTGGAGCTGGAACTGCTCTGGAGATGCACACAGGGTGGGGGCAAGCACGGAACTGGGGCACACGTGAAGCTGGGACTGCTCCCAATGCACTGGGACCGGTGTGGAGCTGGGGCACCATGCGAAGCCGGGACCCCACATGGAGCTGGGGCTGGGGCACAGCGTGAGGGCTCGGAGCAGCCCGTGCAAACCTCCCAACACTGTCGGTGGGAATGGGTCGGTGCCCGTGGAGGGGTGGAGTGGGGAGGAAAGAGGAGCCGCTGAGAAAGATCTTGAAAGGCTTGCCTCAGTGTGGGGAGTGGGGAGGGGGGAGGAATCGTGGAGGAGCAGGAAAAGACACATTCCTAAAATAAAGGCTTAAAGATAGAGAGTTTTGTAAACTTGTCAGTGTGATAAGCTATAAATAGGTATGGTTTTGGGGGGAAACAGGAAGTGATCCCCAAGATAAAATCTGGTGTGGGACCTGGCCCACAGAGTTAGTCAGGTGAGGCAATGGATCATGGTGCCTAAGCAGGTCAGATCATCATCTTTCCTCGTAGATAAACGGTATCAGTAATTTAGTTCCAAAGCTCATGATTGCTTGGTCATCACCGGGACCACGAGTGGATTTCCCGTGGATTTTAGTAATGGCTCTGCCCGTGAGAGCTTAAAAAGCTCTAAAGGATGTGAGAGTTTTCCAGGGTGGGGCCTGGCCCACGGAGGAAGGCTCTGCTTTGAGCTGTCTAAGGATGTGAGAGGGTCACCCAAGTCCACAGAAGGTGGAGAAAACTCGCGTGGGGCCTGGCCCAGCGGCTGAGTAATCTCTGGGGGTTGCTCACCTGTAGTAAATGAATTAGACCGGTGTTGTTTGCAAACCAGCAGTGACAAGTTTATCAGCTCCCAAGTGTTGAGAAGTGAGGAATTAATCCAGTACGCAGTCCAGTCTGCGAATGGCAGGGGACTCACTGGCAGTCTCTCTTCTGCTGTTCCCGGTCAGGGAACCATATGATAGAATTCTGGCGTGGCTGAAAAGAGAAGTGTAAAATATAAATGACCTTTATTTTAAGAATGCGGGGAGAGACACTCCCCACCCCCGACCCACCAGGGGCCGGCATTCTCTCCGGGGTCTGGCAATCTCTCCATCCAACATGTGGAGTGGGAGCATACATGTAGCTTAGGTTTGGGGTGGTGCCTGAGGGGCATTAGTGATGCACAGGTAGCCCATTGGTATTCATTTTGCGCCACAGGTAAATTCCTAGGGGCGGGGAAGGTGGAGCTCCTTGGTTCCACCTCCAAGGCTTTACCGGCTACAGTGTCCCATCTGGGCCAAAATCTTTTCACCTACTCCTAAATCCAGAGGCTTTTATGAGTTTTATTCCAAAATAATATATAACAATTTAAAAGTAATTTAATATCTATGATAATGAGTATGAGCTAAGTAGGGCAATATTATTATCACCATTTTGTAAATAAGACTTTCCTGGTTTTTTGTTCATTGATTTTTGTGCACCACCTGGGCTTTGCCAGTAAACTCTGCATCGTCTATGCTTGGAAAGAGGGAAAAAGAAGGGCGTCATTGGTCCTTAGAAGTGGTCCAGCTAGAAGTGAGCTCAGGCTCTTCTGGAACTATCTGTCACAGAAACTTAAAATATTATTCATGGGCAGAGGAAGGAAGATGCGGTGTCTTAAGGCACTGAAGGTGTCCTGAGGATGATGGGAGGGGCAAAGCTAGAAGGTAAAAATGACTACATAACACAACAGACTTCAGCAAGACAACCATAGGGGTCCTTCCTCCTTGCTGTAACTTCCCCCTACTTTACCCCACTCCTGACACTCAGAACATTCATGATCTGGCAGTTTCCTCAGTTCAACAACAGTGATGCCAAAGAAACATAAACCTGCTCCGACTGAAGTCTTAAAGGACAGATGGAACTCAATAGTGTCTTCTATAATTTCTTTGTGGGTTTTGTGTTTTTTGGGAATAAAACACCAAGTCAAAAAAGATGAATCTCTTCCAGGAGAACATGGCGGACAGATAACACCAACTACCAGAGGCTCTCTGAAAAACTAGGCTCAGAAGCCAGGTATGGTGCGGACTAAAGAGACATAAGCAGGTGGAGTTATGCTCTGCTGACTCAGGAACGAACTCGGCTGAGAGAAACCAACTTGGAATGCAGTCCTGGTGCTAAAACAGGAACAGAAAAGTCTCGCTGCTGAGGCTGGACCCTGCGCCATTGGAAGCCGCGATTTGGGTTTCCCGCTGCGCGGTGGCTGGCTGCCTCTACATCAGCTCGGCAAGGAGAGAGATGCAGAAGCTCTGAGAACGGCAATCTGCGAACGGAGTCGAAAACAGGACGGGCAGGGAGGCATGTTCTGACTTGTGGCGAGGTGAGTGAGAGAAACTGACACTCCACCACAGTTTGACTCCAGCGGACTTTCTGGGCCCGAGCAGTCCTGCGGGAGCAGGGCGCGCTGGCGACTCCAGCCACACATTCCCCTCTCGGGTGGGATTGGTGAAAAGTGCCTGGCCTGCGTGACGCTGCCGGCGGACCCCGTAGGCTGGCCCAAACCAGATCCCAGAGCCTGACGGAGGCCGGGAGGGGCGGGCCCCCGCGTAGGCTGCCTGGTGCGCAGCGGTGAGTGGGAACACCTAACTGGCGCAATTCGATCAGGCTATGGCTGACAGGGAGAGAAGCTGGGCCTCTCATATAAGCTTGCATATATAAGGAACAGAGAATATGGGAAGAGGCAGCAACAAGAAAGGCTCCTCGGCCCCCAATTCTGAGAAACAGGCAATAGCGGACACCGCACCAATACACATAAAGCACCATATAGAGAGCCTCATAGACCAATTCAGGAATGAAGTTATCAACGACCTGAAGCTAGAAGTATGCAAAATAGTTAGAGAAATGCTAAGCCCCACCCAAGAAAAAACAGATGGTGGAATGGAAGAACAGAAAAAGAGGGGAGAATTGTTTGATGGAGAAAACAGGGAAAGCATAGAATACGTGAAGCAGGTTCAAAGGGGCTACCAAGAAACTAAGAAGTCTATCGAAGACTGGCATAACAGCTTGAAAGAAACTAAGGACAGACTATCTGAACTGGAGGGCAGAATTGTAATATGGGAGAATGAAATGAAAAACTTCTTAAAAATAACAAAGAAACAAACAGCAATAATACAAAGACAAGAAGATGATAAGAGGATCCATAACTTAAGGATTAAGAACATAAAAGAAGAAGTAGGGACACAAACAAATGAACTACAAAAGCTACTCACAGAAATAATCCAGGAGAATTTTCCTAATTTAGCAAAAGGTAAAGATACTCAGATGTATGAGGCATACAGGACCCCAGCTACCTACAACCCTAACAGAGAAACACCCAGGCATATAATAATAAAAATTCCAGAAATTCAATACAAGAACAGAATATTAAAAGCTGTCAGAGACAAGAAACAGACCACTTACAAGGGAGCACCCATCAGAATTACAGCAGATTTCTCTGCACAAACCATCAAATCACGAAGAGCGTGGGGGGAAATAATTCAAGCTTTGAAAGATAATAATCTCCAGCCAAGATTGAGATATCCTGCACAACTGTCCCTGGAAATTGATGGGAAAACAAGGTGCTTCCAGGATAAAGAGGAACTGGGGGAATTTGCAACCACCAATTCAACTCTACAGAGAGTATTGCAGGATATTCTAAAAAAAGAAAAAATACAAAGAATCCAGAAATAGTGGAGGCCACGACTAATGGAGCAGAGAACAAAGTGAAGAAGACAAACTGACAGCTACTGACAGAATAAGAGCTCAACAGAAATGAGGCAGAGAAGATTGGATGATAGGAACAGCTATTTTGGAGAAAATGACATCTTAATAGGTAATACTGATTTAGTATCATCTTGTTTTGAAGTCTCATCTAGCTTTTGTCCTTCTGTCTCCAATAGTCTAAATAGGTTGTATCGTACTGGATTTTATTATGTACAATAGTATAAGCAAAAACCTTTTAAAGACAAGGAGATTATACAGAAACCATTATTCATTTTCTGTTAGTCGATTCTAAATACTCTGTAATGCTGTCATTCTCTTAAATGGTTTTACATTGTTTTGATATACTTAATGCTACAATATATGAAGTTGTACTCAAGGATTTCAAGGAAAGAGACAATATGGTAACTACTTTTAGGTCAGGATTATCTGGTGGTGAAACACTATTCTGCTTAAATGGTTATGATTTGATCTGTGCTGTTTCGTTGTTATGCCCTCTTTTATCTCAATCTCCACTCCATTATTTACTTTTTTAATACTTTTTAAAAATTTTTTATCCTTTTAATTAAAGGAAAAAAATAGCAGGATATATTATAGTAACCCACTTTGACTTTCCATTACCTCGATTTAAAGCCCTGTATTACTCTCACCATCTGGTTTTTAACTGATGTTCCCCTATTCTGTTTTGCTGGATAGTATCAGGTTCGAAAATTTAGGCATCAGCTGTGAAGATAATGAGATTCATTATAACGCCCATTCTCGTTGACTTTTATCTACTTTTGAAGACCTACAATGTCTCCAATGGTTTGGCTTTGTCGGTTTTGTTCTTTACTGTTTTGTTCAATTGTATTATAACTAATGATATAGGCAATTCTATTAGAGATAGCGGGAGGCATTATGGTAACCATTGTTGATCACCTTGTATTATGTTTTCACATTATCTATTATGTCCACCCTTTTGACTTGACCGATTCTGTTCTGTTATGTCACATTTGGTTTTACTCTCTTCCAACAAAGTAATAAGAACCGTGAGAGCAATGAAACCCAAAATGTGTAATAGTCATTGTACAAAAGAGAGGAAAAGAAAGTGCTCTAAGCTATATAACTGCATGTATATTTAAGTGTATAAGATAGAATATGATATCACAGAGTTTTATTGGATCATTGAACAGAACTGTTTGCAGTATCATTGATGGAATGTCCACTTTACAAGCTTTAATTTTGTGACTTGAACAATTATTTCTAATATGACAGTATGTAATTCATTAACTAGTGATTTCCTACTGTTCATTTTTTTTCTGCAAATCTGTATAACTTGTACCCTTTCTCTGCTTTTTTTTTTCTTTTCTCCTTAAATAAAATTAAAAAAAAAAAAAAAGATGAATCTCTACCCATACAATTTCTAACATCAATTCACCTGTGAGTGAAAGAGACGTCTATGTTGCCTCTGAGAAACCTCTAGATAAGCTTGATAAAGAAGTCAAATACATTAGACCTGGACTTCAACTTATCTTACATGTTGGGTTTCCTTTTAAATAAAGATCCCTTGTCTTTTAAAAGTGGGTAAGGGTGGTTGAAATCATCAGTTTAAATATTTCTAAGGTAAGACCTTTTAGTATTTAAATACATAAAATGAATATGATTCCTAGCTTTGTGCAATATCATAATATTTATCTGAGGCACAATTTTTACTAATTTAAAAGACTCTATGATTCCAAGGATAGATATCATATACAAACCCATCCAAAAGTCGGGCCAAAATGTCTAGGTGCTCAAGATACACATACAGAAGAACTAACTTTAGGGTTCCACACCTGCTCACCAACCAACCCACCCACCTCTGGGGCCAGCACTCCAGAAGCGTTAGTATTCACCTTTTTCTTAATGGCACCATTATCCATCTACCAGCTGGAGCCAAAACCCCAGCATCTTCTTCAAGTCTTCTCTTTCCTTGGCCCCCATAATCAGCCCCATGGTTTTACCTCCAAAACATGTCTGGAACCTGACATGTTCCCCCAGCTCTTTGCCCATCTGCATGGACAGCCGTCACCACCTCTGCTTCTGACCATGGAAAACCTTATAACTGATTTTTCCACTTCTGCTTGGTCCCCTTTCCCATCTGTTCTCCCCTAGCTGTCAGGAAAGTGTTTTAAATTATAAAAGGAATCTCCTTGGAGTAAGAGTAATACATTTCCTGAGGTTTCATCATCTGCTCCTTTATTTCTCCATCTTCATCTTCCATCTAAATCTGATTTATTCCACTACCTGAACTTTTCCATTCATTTATTTAGCAAATATTTATTGATCACCTAATCTCAAGACCTAACGTTCAAGACCTCATCTAAGTCTTGACAATACAGTAATGAACAAAACAATTTTTTTAAACAAAGCAACAAAATAAACCTGCCCTGTAGAGTTAACATTCTGATTTTTATAAATAGAGTTTATTTGTTTATTGACTGTCCTTCCTGCTAAAATGTAAGTTTCTTGGGAACAGAAATGTTGATCTTTCTGATCACAATTATAGCCCAGGTACTCCTGTTGCCCAATAAATATTTATTTAGTGACTAAATGAAAGTGAGCTTGAGTCCAAACTAGCTTTGCCCACTGTTCAGAATGAATATCTGCTTACACTCCAATTTGGAAGAATTAAACACAGTCTAAAGGGACCCATGAAATGGTATCGCCCATCTGGTCTTCACCACACCCTGGGAGACCTGGGACATGGCTGCTCCTCCACAAACCTACTTCTGACCTCAGGCAACCAGGCTGGCTAAAAAGGAAAGTTGACTTTTCCAAACCAAGGGTCCCAATCTATCTCTCTACCTTCTAGGAAGCCAGCTAGAGTCTCCCATCTCAGGGTATCATGCCTGGCTCATCATTACAACACTTTGTTCCATCCTCACCAACTCCTGAGACAAGAAATCCCAGAAGGGGCCCTGCCCACTCTGGCCTAGGGAGTTTCTGCTCTTCCCTTCCAGTGCATCCATAAAGTGAGCTAATTAACTTGATGGCTGTTTCATCATCAAATTCCCACCACCACCACACCCTGTGGCTATTTCACTCTGGAGAATGAAAGACATCCCTACCAGATTCCTATTAATGTGTGGAGATTCCCTATTTACTGAGAGCATTAAAGAGGCTCACTTTGGAAGTAATGTTCAGTGCCTTCCTCAGCCAGAGCTTAAAACACTTCATAGGCAACATCTAATTAATCTTCACCAAGTCCCTAAGGGGGAAAAATAAATTATCCTCTTTTAGCATCAGCAAAAAGAGAGAGAGAGAGAGAGAATCAGCATTTCCTCCACAGAGTGGATCTGGACCAAACTATCGTGGGAAGCCACAGAAGAGGGCACAGAAAAAAAGAAATCTAAAGATCCCTCCCACAGTGGTGGGACAAGATGTCAAAGAAATCCCATGTCATGTAGCTGTTAGGACTCTTCCTTCTCTCCTGTCCTTGGGAAGCACCAGCAGGCTTTCTTTGAGATGTAACAAGCTTTCACACTGAAAGATTCTTTTTCATCTCCCCGGGAAGTCGGGATACCTGGAGACTATGTTTTGAAATACATATATTGACAACCAATTACACAGCTCTCCCTCATGAAGCTGCTTCTCTGTCAGGTCACTCTCCAGTCCTAGCTATGATCTCAGAACTGCTGCTGCATTCCTCCTGAGTAAGTCTCTTGTCTGTCTCTCTGCCTCTCTCTCTCTCTCTCTCTCTCTCTCTCTCCCCACCCCTGGACTTCTCAGCAGCTTGCTTCCCCCCCCCTCCCGCCCCAGGAGTGATGACCCTGCATGGGAGGAGGCAGGAGGTGAGACAGTATCAAGAGCGTGGCAAGGACAGGTGCCCCAGGAAAATGATTACACCAGAAAGATGATGCGTGCAAACACCTACTTTGTGCCTCCAGCTACAAAGGTTTCTTCTCCAGTGCCCCAAGGAGAGTCTGCCCTTGGTGTGCCATGCTTCAGTGTGTCAGGTCACAGAACTCATCCTGGTGTGGTTACAAATATCAGGAGCTCAATAGGATGGTGCAACAGGAGACAGCTTAATCACAGCCTTCTGAGAACACAGTACACTAACCTAGGTATTCTTGATCTGGACTTCAGAAATACATCAGCTCCCTAAACTATAGCAAAATTATGTAAAATATAAATAGGTACATTGCTAAACAAGTCAGTGTTTCTAGCTAATTTTCATAAGTCTGCATCCTTCAAAAACACTGGGAATTATCTATACAAAGTAATAGCTCTAGGAAGGAATTTTCAAACAATCTGACCAGAAAATGAAGGAGAAGGGAAGGACAAGCTGGTCGTTTTGAGGACAAGCTGGTCCTTAATGCTAACAACTGGCATTCACAAGAATCTTCTTAGGTGCTAGGAAGTGTTCTAAGCACTCTGTTTATAAAGTCATTTAATCCTTATAGCAACCTCATATAGTGTAACTATTCCTCAGCCCATTTTACAGATCATGAAACTGAAGCACCAAGACTCAGAGAAAGTGAAAAACAAGCCTAGATTTGCAATAAGGCATCCTGGGGGTATAGTGTCTGCTCTCAGTCACAGCACTGTGCACGTGGCTGTCCAGCCTCCTGTTCCACACTTACAGGCTCCTCCTAGTGGCAACACTGAATAGTGAGTGTCCAGCTGCAAACCAATCCCTACCTACTCCTTGCAAGTCACTTCCAGAACTATACGTTTGTGATGACTTATTATAAGGAAGTGTCTCATGGGCACCACAGTTCTGCTTAAAGAGGTAAATGAAGATGACGACTAAGGTTCACATTTTGCCTCATAGAGTGTAAGTTTTTTAAAACTTCCCGGTACCCAGGGCATCTCCACTTGACACAATCTGCTCCTAGCTTTCTTCACTCTTGATCACATTTTATAGCTACCAGTCACTGCTCGCAAAGTTACTTTACATGGATGAATTCTGACATCCCTGATTAAAAGTACTGGAAATGTAAAATTCTCACAACTAGAACATCTGGCCTCACAGCAGCACAGATGGGTGTGCCATACATTTAAGGGGTTTGGGGTTTTTTCCAGTACTTTGCACCCAGTGGGTGCTCAAATATTTTGTCAGTGTCAGAGGTGGCATTGTAAAGAGGTTGCGTTTCTCCTAATGCTATTGTTCTTATTTTCCACTTCAAAACATCCAAATAATTGAATATGAAGAGTCCACGAGAATTATCCAAATAAAAATCATCTTCATCCGACTGAAAGCCTTTTTCTCAAGATCCCAAAACTTTGTAGACATAAAAAAACGCAGCTTCGGTCTGATTTAATGCCTCCTCTTCTCTAGAGTTCAAAACGAAACAAAACACATACCTAAATTGGGCTACAGAAAGATCAGACCAGGAGGACAAAATTGAATTAGTCCTGCAACTCACCTCAGTCTTGAGCCTATTTAGGATGGCTTTTAGCGGACTTCTTACTAACTTGTTCATTCATTCATTCATTCAACAAATATTTCTTGAGCACTTCCTGTGTAACAGACAACATCTTCAATTCTTGGTCTGCAACATAAATAAGGCAGGCAGATTGCAGCCCTCACAAATCATACAGATTCATAAAGAAATCGGAAAATAAATTTAAACAGTAATGAGTCAGTACGATAAATATGTTAGTAAGTTTAAAAGTGGTGAGCGCTCTAGGAAAAGCAGGGTGGGTTCAGGCAATCGTGAGAACCGGGAGGTTGGGGGTTGCAGTTTTACACAGGATAATCAGAGTGACCTTTAGGAGGAAGGTGAGAAGGAGCAAAGTGTGATGATGATAAAGGCCACTTGGGGATCCAGGAGCAAGGGATCCAGCAGAAGTGTGAGTGAACAGCCAGGGCTTTGGGGGCAGAGGGTGAGACCGGAGGGTGAGGTAGGTGGACGGTCCTGGCCTCCTCCACACGAGATGGGAAGCCACTAGCGGTTCGCAATGGAGACGAGGAGAATCTGACTGTTCTATCAAGAGCAGTCCCATTCTGGCTACTCTGGAAGGACCACGCAGCTGGGGAACGGAGTGGGGTGAAACCAGGTAAATCAGGAGCAAAAGCAGGAAGCCCATTCAGGATGCTTCTGAAGACAACAGGACAAAGCGAGGGGAGCGGTAAGTAGGGAATTAGCTGTGGAGATGGGGACATGTGGCCAATTTTTGGAAATAATTTTTGAAGTACAGCATATGGGATTTCCTGGTGGATTAGATCTGGACCATAACAGAAAAAGAACAGTCCAGGATGACCGAGGTGTTTGCCTGAGCATTCTGCTACTGAAAAGAGCCAGTTCCTCTTCAGTGTTCTAAATGAAGACTCAGGAGACTCGTGGGAGACGGCGATGGGCTGGGCTTAGTGTGGCAGATGGGGCTGCGCGGTGATAGAGAAGGACCCAGGTGGCTCTTGGCTGTCTGCAGTCCTACCCCAGGAGAGGCAGGGAGGTCACTATTTCCTGTGTCCCTTGTCTTCCTCATTCATACAAACACAGCACCCTCCAGACTTAAAGGACCAGGTGAATATCTGCGTTCAGTATTTCTTTTGTTTCCTGGTGGCACTTGTCTTAATTTTTATTCTTCAAGCTTCCAGCTGGAAGCTTCTTCCAAGCTTCTTCAAGCTGGAGCCCTGGTCTTGTGGGACTGATGAGTGAACATGTTGTTCATATTTTCAGAGATACAGATTCTATTTTGATTTTATTCCCCTTCAACTTCCAACTCTGTAGACAGAATGGGTTAAACAGAAATGTCATAGATTAAGAATATGTCACGAACTTTCCTGAACATATCTGTAAAATGGTTTAGTAGGTGACATATTAGGTACAATCTAACCCAGGCCCAGAAGTTCATATTTGTTCTTTTTACAAAAGGCACCTCATTAAATCACTGTCTAGTCCGTAACTGGCTTTATTGGGACATAAATTCATTTCACTAAACCAATAAATGTTAATTCTTCACCCTGGAGATTCTAGTCAGTCTGGTTTTACCCTGCTCGAGCTCCTGAGGCTGCCATCAATTACTCATGTTTGGGTTTATCTGTCATTATGGAATCGCTTTAGCTAGAACTAACGGGAAGTGAAAGGACAATAAAGCTAAGCCTCATTCCAAAGAGAATATACCGAAGAGGGCATTCACCTGAACCCCATTATTCTTTTCTATAAATTAAAATACCCTGGCATTCTGCAGCAGCAATCCATTATATTTAGATTCCCTGCAAAAGCCAGGGCCGACGAGTGGTGGATACTAATGAAGGCGGCTGGTGGGTCCGGGGAGGAGAACAAGCTGGGACTCGGCAGGTTTGGGCTGGAGACCTGCTTTGCAATAACTACGTGTGACTTTCAGCCGGTTGCTTAATGTCATGGAAACTCACATTCATCTGTAAATCCAGTACCATAATACCAATTTCACAAACATGGAGGAGGGCGAGAAGCATGAGACCTGGGGCTGGGAGTGGAAGAAGGGTATTACATCTCTGTCTCTGTCTCTCTGCCTGTATGTGTGTGTGTGTGTGTGTGTGTGTGTCTGTCTGTCTGTCTGTCTCTCTGTTACTGTCCGTCTGTATGTGTGTGTGTGTCTGTCTGTCTGTCTCTCTGTTGCTCTCTGTTACTGTCCGTCTCTGTGTGTGTGTGTGTGTGTGTGTCTGTTGCTCTCTGTTACTGTCTGTCTCTGTGTGTGTGTGTCTGTCTGTCTGTCTGTCTGTCTCTCTGTTGCTCTCTGTTACTGTCCGTCTCTGTGTGTGTGTGTGTATGTGTCCCTCTTTGCCTCTTTTTTTCTCTCCCCTCCTTCCCCTTCTCTCTCTCCTCTCTTCTCCTCCTCCTGTTATCAATCTGGCTGCTAGGGTCAACTGCCTGCCCCATCACCCTCCTATTGCAGTCTTAAACAAGTGATTTAACCTCTCTGAGCTTTAATTTACCCACTTGAAAAGTAGGGCTGATCGTATCTGTCTTCCATTCTACCCTCTCAAGGTGCACTGATAGGAATCATCTCTGTAAAGTTCTTAACATCTGACTGGAAACAGGGTCAATTTTAGAAGACAGTAATACCACTGAAGCAGGAGTCCATTTTTAAAAACAAAAGCATTATCTTCTCAAGCAAATGTTCTTTCTTATGATGGAAGGTTTCTCTTTAAAGCTGTCAGCTCTTTTTTCCCTTCTGATAGAAAATGGCTTCCTCTCCTAGAACCATATATAACTTCAGAAGCAAGAGGGAGCGGGGAGCAGAGTTGCCAAAAACTAGAGGTGAATTGAATGCCTACACATTGCACTCAGGATAAACTGCCCTTGGTGTAAAACACTCAGTAACATTTTACAAGGAAAAAGTGCGGATAAATGACTGCAGTCCCTGGGCGGTGCTCGGGGTGGTTTTTATAAACCATGCACGCTGCCCGGACGCCTCTGTGCCTCTGCTCCACCTGGAGAGTGTGTGAGCCGGGCCTCAAGGCAGCCAGGGGCTGCCAGTGCTCTCTCCGTCTGCAGGCCAGGCCGGAGAGCCTCATGTTAGCACCAGCTCCTGACCTGGGACTCAGAAGGTTCTAGGGCCAGACCTAGACCTGAAAGGAGCCTCAGGCCTTTGTGCCAGGCCCTAAGCCAGGCATCACACAAAGCAGAGGCTGCAGAGCAAAACAGAACTGGTGTGGGCTTGGCCTCCTGGGAGACCAGTCTATTGTACACAAACAGTATGACCTTGAACCATCTCCTGCTTCTAACAACAGAGATTTATAAACCTTACCATAGAGGTTCCCGAGAGGATAAAGTGCTATGACATCATGAATGAACTTTACACACAATTGATGTTTTTCCCAAGTTGCTAAGGTGAGCTCACCTGTCCTTCCCAGAATACTGCCAAGTAATGAGGAATTCGTAAATAAGCAAAGTGACCCACAAAGTGAACTGCTTATAGCTGCTCATCTCTATCTCTAATTCACATTTATCCTTTTTATGTAAAGAGCCCAAACTCAGAAGTGAATGGGTTGGTTAAACACCTTTCTGAAATCTCTAGGACTAGATCTAGATCAGGGCTGGTTGTTTCCAGTTTAATGCTCTTTGTGTTAGCCTAGAGCATTAAAGATCATCTTTATTTCACAGATAAGGAAACTAAAGCCCAAAAAATGCCTTAGACAGTGACTTAGATAAAAGAACTTGAGAGTTTTCAGGGTACTCTAATGTATCTTGGTGACCTATGAGCTCATGACCCACAGATTTTTAAATAGTTTATTGGGAGCCTGCTATGTACCTGACCTAGACCCTGCTTTCAGGAGTTTACACCAAGTGAGAAAAAAAATTTCCACCTGCATCACGAAGGCTATCACAGAGATAAACCCAGGTGGAAGGGAACATATGGGTGGGACGCATAATCCACCCATGGAGGATTGGGGTTGCTTCTGCAAGGGAAATAGGTATCATTAAGTCAAACAAAATTCAAGGAGCAAGGTGTCCAGGGAGTCAAAGTACAGTGTCAATAGTCCCAGTTTTAAAGAATGTGACCTATTAAGAAAATTGGAGCATGAAGGGAACACAGTGGAAAACAGGATGCAAAGGCAAACCGCTAACTGAGGCACGGTTATGTAGTAGGATTGAGCTCAATGCTGCTGGAGGCAGTTGCTTCTTGGAACTGTTATACGTACTTGTGCTTGGAATAACAGTACCAGTATGACTACGAGACAGCAATGGCTTTGTCTGGTAGAAGACACTTCTGGTTTCACATCAAACTCCAGTTCCCATGAACATCCAATAGAAAGAAGTAATCAGGCATTGCACAACATATTTCGATGTTAGTAAACCATTTCAATAATCCTCCATGCTTTCCCTGCAAACAAGATGAAAAAACTTACTTCTCACATCAGTCAATGTTTACTAGAGGAACAGATATAATGAGACATACGATTGTGTAAGAAATTACAAGATTGGATTACAATGACCAGCCACAGAGTGACTGTGGGAGTATGCAGAGGGTGTCTGCACATTGGAGACTGAAGGGCCCAGTCCAAGGTCTGGAGCTCTTTGCAGTGTCCCGTGCAAGTCTGTGTTAAAAGGATGGTGGGTCTGCGGTGGAAGGCAGAAGAGTCTGTGAGGGAAGGCTAAAGGATCCACAGCAGAAGCCTAAGAGTCTGCACTAGCGGCAAGGAGATGACATCCAAACTGAAAGCAAAGACTGGAGCTCCTCTGAAGAACAGAAGAAGCAAATCCATCCTTCCTCATTTCTCCTTAATACCATGCAGACAATGCGTTGCCCTAAGCTGAGTCTTCTGTACCCTAGGGTGCAAAATCACTAAGCCATTTTAGTTAAGCTTCTCCTAACTAAACTTCTCAAGGTGACAGTCAACCATTACAGTTCCAGTCTGTGAATATATAAATAACTATCTAGACATAAGTCATTCGAGGAGCTGGTTAAACCACTGATGTCTTACTCAAAGGAATCCTCTAGTACCATGCCACAGGGCTCTCTTCCTGGTCCATTTCTGCAAGGCAGGTGCTTATGCCACTGAGCTAAATCCCCAGCCCCTGGTCCATTTCTGATAGGCATGTAAAAAAGCTTTGAGGTAGAAATGGAAGGCTAGCTTATCAATAGTAAAAATGACTGCAGTATGGGAAGAATATCAAGTACTTCAGAAAGAACAAGATTAAGATCTTCAATAAAGTCATGTAAATAAACTTAAATATAGCAGAAACAAATGTAAACTGCAGTTAGCTGAAAGAATTTAGTGCTAAATGTGGAAAATTTAATTGGTAGTAGTAAGCTGGGGATTTAGCTCAGTGGCATAAGAACCTGCCTTGTAAGCAGGTAGTCATGAGTTCAATCCCCGGTACCGATAAAAAAAAAAATTAAGTCATTAATTAGTGGTTTGTGAGAGCTACAAGAATATTTTTGCTAACTGAAAGACATGATTGCTAAACAAAAAAAATTGATTGATGCAATTCTCATTAGAAATAGGAAAAAATTGAACAAATGAATAAAATATGCTTCCAATTTCCAGGCTAGTAAGGTCTAGGGGAACTTGAGGAGGTCTCAGTGAGTCATGAAGCTATGTTTCTTTGTAGCACAACTTGCCCCTATCCCCCCTCTTGGGGAGATGTGTACCTCTTGGGAAATGTGTCACAGTGCTGTGACCTGTTCTGAATCTCTAGTTTTAAGCTCATTAACAACGTTAAACTACAGCATTCAGTGACTTAGAGAAACTATAGGGTCACCCTTCCCCTGAGAGTCCATTATTCTGCTAAAATAGCATTTGTCAACATTTTTTACACTAGGACAGGTCTCTTCCTGTGGCCTCTTGATTCTACATGTGAATAGACCAAATGAATCTGCGCTGTGCTCACCCTCCTGCGCTGACCATGTGAGTGTGAAACCAAGGTCTTTTCTGGCATGCACAGCCTCTCTGCATTAAGCCTATACCCAGATCAAAAGAGATTATAACCTAAGTATGTTTTGTGATGATCACCCCATATTCTCTGGACACAGTGTTATAAGCACCAAGACTGAAATAGTTACCCACAATGGTGAAGTGGGTTCTAGAGACACTCTGTTAGGAGAAATGACTGAAGGACTTGGACAATTTGTCTTGGAAAAATATTAGTGCAGATATGGTATTTGTGTCCCATAAAAGAAAAAAATACACATATTTTTGTAGAACTCAAATACAAATAACTAGGTTTGAAATATGTAAGATGCAATAAAATATATTTTGGTTCTTGTAAGGCAGAGCCCCCTAACAATTAAAGCTATCCATAAATGAAATGAGCTGCCTAGGAAAGTAATGATTTCCCAAGTACTGGAGTTGTTCCCAGCATATTCCTGGAGGCCTGAGAGCAGGGGCATTGCAGAAAATGCTTCTGCTTTGGAGAGAAATTGGACCAGAAATTGGGTTCTTTCCAAGTCTGAGGTTCTGAAAGCAGCTGAATTTTTGCTCAGATGGCCAAGGTGCTTTGTGGCCCCCACGTAAGCACACAGGTACCGGAGTATCAAAAGACAGGCACAAAATCACAGGAAACTTGACTTGTTATCTAGTCTATCCTCCCGCTTTTATTATATGCAATAGATGAGACTCTGGAAATTACATTATTTCCCTAGATAAACTATTCTACTTTATATCCCTTATCAAAAAGATTTCTATTTTCCTCCTCCTAAATCTCTAGGCCTAACTCTTCAGCCTATTCCTTCTGGCTTTATGCTCAGCGCATATGAAGAACAATCAATCATATCCCTCATTATACCAATTCACACAACTAAAACTGGATTTCATAAGGCTTCTCTTCTCCAAACTGAGAAATTTCAGCTCATTTCCTGCTCCTCTTAAATGTTCTTTTTAATGATCACTTTCCCAAGTTCCTCTAAAAATTATCTAAAAGGAAATGTAGAACTTATAATGACTCTTTGTTATCTATAACAGTGCTGCCCAAATGTGTTCTATGGAACATTAGTTAATAATTATTATTTTTGCATGCTCTCTGACCAAATGAATGTAAAACTATCCAGGGGTTAGTCAGGCCGGGGATATGGCTCAGCAGCACAGTGCCTGCCTGGCAAGCACAAGGTCCTGAGTTCGATTCCTGATACTAAAATAATAATAATGTTAATCAGAATACTCAGTTTGTATTATGAATCTCCTAGACCATGATAGAGTATGTAGTATTTCCCAAACATTATGACAGAGAGATATGTTTCAGAGCATGTTCAAGGCCTAATGTTTCACAAAACATCATTTTGGAAGCATCCTGTCAAAGTCCAAAACCCACACCCACCCCTCAGAGCTCTGTATACTCAACCACATAATCTATTTCTCACTGCTTCCCTACAGAAAGTCTCCTTCCTGCCCAGGCTACTGTCGGGACCTCATCTTCCCTTTATCATTCAGGTTAACCCTTCCCTCACCAACAAGCCAGGAATTCTTCAAACTTCAATACCAGCCACACAATGGTACCACTGAGTGACTATCAGAGAGGCAAGTAACTACAATCTCAACAAAAACAACACCTCCAAGAGAAAGACAGGCAACTAAGAACAGAAAAGCTGGCTTACCCAAGTTACAAAGACAGGCAGGGACTGAGAATTGAAACTTCCTGTTTGGAGCTTTTCATACAATACCAGTAGGTTAATCCTCAAGCTAGGAATTCACTGAGACAACATATTTCTAGGTCTCTTTCAAGCCTTCTAAATAGACTGTCTTGGAAGTCTACTTTTAAAAAATCTCTCCTTATCCTGTGCCAGGTTTGAGAACCTCTATATTATGTAACATTATCTCCCACAGCAACATCACACCTACCAACCAAGCTGGCGCCCACTCCCAATTTAGAGTAGTTTGAGTGAGTCAACGAGTTCTGAGTGTCTTTTTCTCTATTGGTAGAATAAGTTGGTTGGACCACTTCACCTCTAAGATCCTCCCTAGCAATTTGATTCTGCTATTTCTAAGTGTTTATTTAGTTATGCTCAACATTTACCCACCTATTCCAGTGGACACCCTACTCTCCAGCCTCTGAACATTTATATAATATATGAGGACTAAGCCATAATGTATTATTTGGTTCACCACCTCAGAGCAATGTTTGTGGAGTGTTCCAGTGGGGCAGGTGTACTACAAATGTTATTGCTAATGCCTGAAATAGTCCCAAAGGTGTTAATATCCATATTTTGGTATAAAGACACTAGGAGTCTAAAGTATGATATAACATTTCCTATTTCCAAAGTCATATTACTTTTAAGCTGTGGAATTGGATTTCTAAAACAGGTTGGTCTGATTCTAGATGCTCTGTCCATCATGCCATGCTGCTTATGAATTTGAGTCACATTTCCTCATTATAGGTAGTAGCTGTCCTTATCGTGTATCCCCTTCAACACTAGCACCTTGCCAAGCATCAAGTAGGCACTCAATAAATATTTGTTGATTTGATTAGTGGATTAACTGTCTCCTTCTACCTGGAACACAGACCACATCTTTTCAATGTTAAAAAAAAAAAAAGCATGCTACACCCAGAGACCATCTGCAAGTTTTCGGTTAGCTCAGAGCAGAAAATTACAGCTGTGTAGACTGCACCTGTAGACTCAAGCTTAATTAATAGGCTTATCTAGGATTGTGTCTGTAGCACAGATATAGTACTGTATGCACAACACAGAGCGTGTTGACATAGCGGGGGCATGTTTTATTTCTCTCGTTTCATACCATTAAGACCATGTTAATGAAAGTGAATTATTGGTAGTGATAATAATAAAGATGAAAATCTTCCCCCTCCTGATCCCTTACAAATGTTTTTCATTTCAAATCTCAAATCCTCAAGGGAGAAGTGGGTGGGAGTGTCACCAATCCCGATAATGATCTTGGGTATTACACTGTTCATTTGGAGCTCTGATTTAGCTAAGCTGACAGATGTTGGGGAAAAACATGTCTCGCCTGAAAACTCTCCGGTGGCTGCCCAGCTGTGGCTGCAAAGAGAAGCAGAGTTTCTCCAGGAGAGCTTCCTGCTCATTTAAATTCAGGATTTGACATGCAGAATCATCCTGCTCTAAAGGTGGAAGTTGAAGCTCCCTGATTTTAGGAAATGACTCCAGCTTGATGTTTCGGAGACAGATTCCACCACTAATCACCCAGTTCCTCTCAAGGTTCTTCAAACTGCGGTGCTCACTGTGCTCTGGTATCTTGACAAACCTTGTCTTGTCGTGACACAGTTAACCATGTACACCAGAGAAGAGGAAAAACATCTCCGTGTTAACCAAGATCATGTGACATGTCCTTTGTTCTCTCCCCAGAGCAGTTTAGACAAGGGGAGTGTTTAATTCACCTTTAAATGATAACCAATTTCCCTAATGACAG